ACTTTATTCTACGTGTGGTCAGTATAAAGCTAAAGTAAAACGTCCGACAGTCTCGCTTAACCGATATTTGAGCGCCGCATAATAGTCATAAGATCCGTTCTATGTATATATGTATAATAGACATTTACCGCTGTGTAATTTAGTCTTAGACAATTTAACAAAAAATCCATATTGTGACGTATGTAAAAATATATTTAAAAATTGTGTATATTTCATATTTTTCTGCCATTTTTTTAAAAACATTTTGCTTTCCGTGATCTGTATATGTTCTTTCTCTTTTCTGCTTCTTTTTTTTTTCAAGTTTTACCGAGGACAAGTCGTACAAAATGAGATTTCGGCGGTAAGGAGAGTGTAATACAATAAGACGCATGAGGATTTGTGCAACAATCTGAGATTCGAAGAAGTGCTCCCTCATATTGCGCGGTGCTAATTAATCTATCTAACGTAAACGACGTCGGATGCTCTTTTCGCAAGATACGAGCGTGCCACATTTTTTTCGAACCATCTAAACATGAAAAATAATATTAATATTAAAACGTAAGTAATAAAACTTTTATGATAAAAATTTCTTTAAAGACTCATCGCGAGATTTATGCGAGTATTTTAAGCACACCCGACGCATCCAGCAACGCCGTTCACGACGTGTTTACCTTCGCAAAATTCCATTCGCTTACAATGCTATGTGTTTTCGAGACAACTTATGTACAAGGTTGTAGCGGAACGTTCCAAGCAGAACACGCTAGAGTTACAGAATGTGTCGCTCGAGTAAGCTCTCGAGTATCACTGAAAACAGAAAGAATCATACGAATATAGATTTGCTCCAAATGGTTTTCCGCTCTCAAAATTATTCGAGGAACACATTCCCAACGTTTGGCAGATCCTTGTACGAAGCACCCCACGTAAAATTATTACTAACATCACGACTTACTTCGGTGAGGATGAAACCTTTGAAAATTTATGTTCAACGCATTGTCTCTTACATTTTTCAAAGAGTGACACGATCAAGTTCAATCAGAATCATCGTCGTCTGACTTTAACGCATAGGATATTGGCTTCCGTGCGCGACCGCCGATCTTCCGCGGTGGCAACGGTGGCGAATCGTCTATCACGTCGTCGTCTTCAGAATCTGAAATTTTCTTCTTTTTCTTCTTCGTCTACAAAAAAAGAGAATAAATCAGCGAAAAATTCTCGCAGACAATATATATCGACCCATTATTGTGCTTACAGGATTTTGTTTAGCGGAAAGTATGTCGTCTGTGTCGGACTCCTCGGATGATTTCTGTTTTTTCTTTTGCCTCTTCATTCCTTTGCCGCCGTTCTCAGCTTTCTTCTTAGCTGGTGCTGTAAGAGACGGACGATGCTTATAGTATAGTTTTTACTTAATCCTACGATTAAACAAACGTCAATTACCCTTTTTAGGCGGCGTGAACTTCGAAGGCGAATCTTCCCCGGACGAGGATATTGCAAACTTCTGTGGTTTTTCTGAAGAAGAATTGCCGACTAACGAGTCAAAAAGTTCTTCTGAAGTCGCTGCAGAGATAAAAAAAATATTTAATACATTCTACAACACTTATGTATGTGTAAGTTAAATACATTATACGCGCTTACGTGTCGATTGAGGCGGTTTCTTGCTCGGTTTAAAGTTGTCGTCGGAATCACTTAGTACTTGAATGGTTTCTTTCTTCTCGATTCTGTAAAGAAGTAAGTATGCAATGAAAAGCGGTTTGAAATTGACTCACTGTAATACAACGATTCTACGTACATTTCACAATCGGAAATGGGATTAAGTATGTCAGGACTGTCATCACTCGATTCCTCGCTGCTGAAGTTGTAATTCTTCTTGCCTGTTATTCAAAATAGATTTAATAAATAGCACAAACAAGATATCGAAGACTAATACCATAAACTACGTTCAGAAAACACAAGGCGAATTAAAATTTGCACAATTTTTAAAATATATATAATTTTCCTCATTTCTTTCGTGATACTGCTATCATATAATTTGCAAGATTTAAAAAAATGTTTATCCATTATATCCATGGCATTATATACAAATTCAGTAAAAGCATCATTATATTTTCTTGTTCAAATATATTTGAAAGTTATTTAGAAAAGGAAACAATTTGTTTCTAAATAAATTTCATTATACTATTTTAATAATCTGCAGAAAAGAAAATCAGTGGATACCTGCGGATTTACGAGCAGCTCGTGGCGGAGCAGATCGTTCCGGAAGCGGCGAAATGCTGTCAAAATCAATGTCGTCACTGTCGCCGCTCGAATCCTCCTTCTTCTTCGCTCCTTTTTTGATCGCCTTAAACGGCAACGTTGTTTGCTTCAAACCTGCTTACAAAAGTGTTTATCGTTAAAATATGCTGTTAAATATACAAGCAACGAACCAAGATGTACCGACCTTTCTTCGCTGTTGCCTTCTTTTCTATCTTGTCGGGAGAGGTTCCAAGCCTATCGTCGAGCGATTTGGCATTAGTATCAACCAATATATCGAATTCATCTTTTTCCAGGGAGGCGTCCTTCTCCTTCTTTACCTGTTTTAATGTAAAAATTTACAATAATATGCGAATGTAAGAGAAACACACACAAATAGATCAAATAACGCATAATAACTTACCCTCGATTTCTTTATGCCGTCTTTTTTGTCCTTCGACACGATATCCGCCTTTTCGATCTTCTTCTTCATCTCAACGTCGATAATGGGAACTATACGACGAGTTTGATCCACCTTCGAATACCACTTCGAGGGCGGCTTCTTAATGGTCTGTTTCGATTTGTTGTCTTCCTTCCGTTCCTTTTCTTCCAACTGTAAAAAAAATTGCATCACAAATGAAATTACTTTTCTTTCAAGGGAGAAAATAGCGTGTGATGCCTGTAGATAGCAACAAAGCCGAGTGATGTCTATAGATAGAAGAAAATAAATCATTTACCTTATTTAGCTCACTCAACAAATTATCCAGATCTTCTTTCCATAAAGAAATCGGCGTTCGGGATTGCAGTCTCTTATATTCCGCTACCTTTTCGTCCCGTTGCCGCAACAACTCATCCTTCTTCTCCTTCGTTAGACTCCACATCGTCATTCCAAGAAGGTAGTCGTAATTCTCTTTATCTATCAAGGTTGTGGTTGGAATGTCCTCGTTATTTTCATCAATTACTTCTTCCTATTTGTTCACGAACAAATGAGAATTAGAATCGTAAAACTAGACACACCCGTTGACGCGATAGAAAGGCTTTTTACAAAGACAACCATAATCCAATCTTTATATTTAAGTAAAAGTTCATTGTTGATTTTTGTTAAATAGTAAAGGGTTTACGTCAGAAGGATTTATCCATTAGAAAATGGTTGTGTTCGCTAAAAACCCTCGAGTCACGACGTCATTGGAAGTTTTACATACAGTTTCTTCTTATATTAACTTACTTGATCCTCCTGGCATAGCAGAATAAATAAATCCCAGTAAATAACTATGATTCCTTTGCACAAAAAGAATTCTTAAGCAAAAATCCACTCACCAACACTTGTTCTCTATTTTGCGTCAATTTCCAAGCCATCACAGGATCCGAATCGTAATTGCGTCTGACCATTTCCGCTATCATGTCCTTCTTCTTCTTGTTCTCAATCACCAGAGTGCCGTCGCACTTCTCGAGGATGAAGCGCGCCTGATTCGACAGTTTCGCCGCCTCCGCTTGCAAAATTCCTTCCAGATAATCCTTCCTCTTGTGATACATTTCCAGTCGTACTTTGTAAAATCCTTTCAGTATTTGCATCACGCTGTCGTATTTGTTCAGACATTGATTTTCGTCGAACGCGCACTGCACAAAAAGATGTCGTTGACAAATTTCCGTTACACTGGCGATCAGTTACATTTACAACTGTTAGTATCTTACCATTGACGTTATTGTCATCGTTGACTGAAGTTTGAACACTTTATGAAGACCGTCTCTTTCCAGCTCTACCAATTTATCGCGATTCAATATTACTATGAAGTGTACCGCCGTATCTGTGTTGTACTCCTTGTAATCACTACGACGGAACAAATGTGATAGAACGAAAAAGAAACGAAGAAACAAAGTTCCCACAAATTAATTCTACCATTAATCAATCATGATTAATTGATCAATTACTCACGTGATAACTGCTGGAGTTTTATCGGTTCCGTGTAACATGGGCTCCAGCACTGCTTCCTTATAAGTCTGCGTCCACGTCCCGATAGGAAGTTCAGTGATCTCGATCTTGTCGGGTCCAATTATCGATACCTCTCCGCTTGTAACATAACGAAAGTCCCCGACGCTCTCCACGGTGCCTTTGAAATTTTTGTAATACGGTATCTAAGGGTAAATAAATTAAGATTACGTGACGTAATTTAAAAAAAATTATAGATACTGCTGTAAAAATATCGGTACACCAAGCCTTATAACTTGGTGTTCCAATTTTTACGAACAGCAATGTATTTTGATGCTTTGTGTGATTCAGGATTTACTAAGTATACAGCATCTGCAAAATTGTAGCTTTAATCTTCTAGATAATTAAACATTGATATTACCATGGGTTTCGGATCTGCGCCGTCCATCATCCTTTGCAGATTCTCGATAATTTCTCGAGGATTGTAGTTCGGGATCTTTGTCATCCATCCGGTGCCAATACCATCAGCGCCGTTCACCAACACCATAGGAATAACAGGTGTGTAAAAGACAGGCTCGATCTTCTGATTATCATCGTACTCGTGTTTCAATAGAGCGTCATCGTGTTTGTGGAATATGTACCTTGCCAATGGGCTAAAGGGAGAAGAAAAATATATAAGACAAATGTCCAAATGGTTGCACGTTTAATAATTAATCATTTATAACTTTTATAAATAGTAAAAAACTGTTTTATTCATTATAATATTTTAATGTAACAAATACCTGAGCATCGTGAAAATATATCTCGGACTGGCGGCGTCCTTGCCTCCGGTTAGCCTTGTACCGAACTGACCGATCGGCTGAAGCAGATTGATGTTATTGCTGCCCACGTAATTCTGCGCGAGATTGATTATGGTCGCCATCAGGGACGTCTCGCCGTGATGGTAAGCCGAGTGCTCGGCGACCGATCCCGCCAATTGCGCGACTTTCACTTCGCGTTTGTCGTTACGTTTCAAGCAGGTGAACAGGACTTTCCTCTGGCCCGGTTTGAAGCCATCCATCATGTTCGGGATGGATCTTACGTTGTCGTAGTTGCTGTACAGCACCAGTTCGACGTTGATAAAATCTGAGAAAGAAACGGTGCGCGTATCCTTCTCGTAGAGATAACGCTCGCCCAGTCCGATTTCCTTTCGCCTCTTCGTCTCGGTCATGTGATTCATCAACCAATCTTTACGTTGGTCGACACATTTCTTGCTGAACGCCATGATGATGTTCTGATCGTCTTGCTCGCCGTCATATCGGAAGCGTATTCTGTGCCTGGCCATATTCTCGAAGTACTCCTTCGCCTCTTTGGCGGTGGAAGTACCCAAACCTGTGTACATCCGAAAAGAAAACCATTTTATTAGAGGCGAGTTTTATATATTTTAATTAATAACGAAAGGACAGAGGTTAAAGAATTTTGAGTAAACACCTTTGTAGTATTTGATCTTATACGTGTGAAAGTTATCAGTTTCCTTCTTCCACATTTCGAATTCCGGCAGTGAGAAGAAAGACAGAACTTGATTGCCTTTGCTGGCCTTAACGATAGGCGTAATGAATTCTTCAACGAAGTTCAGCTTCAACAACGACGGCCAGTTGTGATGGATAAAATTGATCAAGAGACCTTTGATATGCGAACCGTCCTGAAGAAATGCAAATTTTATCGTAAATATTTCAGATAAATATGTACATGATATATCAGTTGTCTGTATGAGAGATTTAACCTGATCTTGATCGGTCATGATCATCATCTTTCCATAGCGTAATGTCTTCAGATCGTCTCGACTCTCATACTTCTTTTTGTACTGAAGACCAAGGATTTTTATCAGGTTATTGATTTCGGCGTTCTCCAGGATTTGCTTGTGGGTAGCTTCTCTCACGTTCAACATTTTACCTGCAAGTTTATTATTATTGTATCGATTGATATTATTATAGCACTAAAATTAAAAATTGCAATTTTTTGCAATAAAGCCGAAGCTTACCTCTTAATGGAAATATGCCGTACTTATCTCTGCCTATGGAAGCGATACCCGACACGGCCATCGTTTTGGCTGAGTCTCCCTCAGTTAATATGAGTGTGCACTCGAGTGACCTTACGGTTCCTGCGTCATTGGCATCTTCCAATTTGGGTATACCATGAAGTTTCCTTTGCTTCGACTTTGGACCCAACTTCTCCAGCTGACTGTCGGCTTTGAACTTCGCCCAGGACAATACTGCCTCCACGATACCGATTTTCGTGATCTACAAATGCGTTCGTCAAGTGTACATGTGCATGTATATGGAATGCTAAATACTCGATATAAATTTGCTTACAGAGGCGACAAATTTATCGCTAAGTGTGCACTTGGAACCGAAGCTCTTTGGCTGCAGAGTCATATTCTCCTTGGTCTGCGAGTCGAACGTGGGATTATTGATGAGACAGTTGACAAATATCCACAGGTGATTCTTGATTTGAAACGGCTTAATGGCCACGCCGGCTTTATTTTTCTTCTTCAACGTTTCGATCAATTGTTTGACTATCAGCTCTGTCACGTGATCGACGTGTCTGCCACCCTATTGAAATTCAGCGATTTTAAATGGTCAGAGATTTTGCGCTTTACAAGAAATTACCACGTGCGGCTGTCTCACCTTCGTTGTCGCGATACTATTTACAAACGACATTTGCTGGAATCCTTTGTCGGACAGTGTGATGGCTACTTCCCAACGCGGACCGCAATGTTCGTATACAATTTTTAAAGGGTTGCCAACATCGTCTTCTTTCCCCTTAATGTAAAAATCAGTGTATTCCTTAAAATTCTTCACCGGAACACGACTTCCGTTCAGATAAACCTTGACACCCCTCGAGGAGGCAGCTACATCATACGCTCTTCGAGACATTAGAGATACGATATCCGCATCTAGAGATTGCATCTTGAATTTCGTCAAGTCCGGCGAAAATGTGACTTTAGTAAAATCTTCTCCATGATATTCCTTAATTCTAGGCTCACTAGCTTTATCCATATTATTACCCCATGTCTATAAGGAAATAAGGATTATAACACAACTATATATAATATATTATTATCCAATAGATAGATTGATATGTATCAATAAATTGTACTCACTTGCTTTAAAGATTTCTTATATTCCTTCGTCGCGGTCTCAACGGTAAAACGATGACTAAAAATATTACACAGCTTGGCACCGTAACCATTTCTGCCACCAGTCACTTTTTCCTCTTCGTCATCGTAATTAGATGATGTCAGAAGGTGACCGAAAATCATGGTGGGTACATACATTTTTTCTTCTTTGTGTATTACTACAGGAATGCCCTTCCCGTTGTTCCACACAGAAATAGTATTGTTCTCACTATAACAGTATACGTATTTAATAACTATATTAAAGATAATTTTTAAAAAATTCTACAAAAATTTTTTTATAACTTACGAATCAATATCAATTTTGATCATATCCATTTTAGGATCGCGTTGTTTGTTATCAGCAGCATTTACCAGAATTTCATCAAAAATTTTATACAATCCAGGAACATATCTTATATCCCTCTGAACCATCATCTCTTTCTCCTTATCAAAGACCCACATCATTTCTGTTACTGGTTCCACAGATCCAATATAAGTATCCGGACGCAGCAAGATATGTTCCAGCTGTGATTTCTTTTGGTAAATGCCTTCAATAGTTTTCTGCTTGGACTTGCTGTTGCCAGCCCCATTTTCCATACCTGTACTCATTTTGATATGGTGTATCTTCAGATATCTAGAAATTAATAATAAAGAATATATTGTAAACACTTACATAAATTTTGTTTTATATTTGACAGCATAATTATATCACAAGTACGACATCAAGATTTAATTATTTAACATATTAAGCTGCATATTTGTTCAGTAAAACAAAACAGATTTTGTTTCTTTACCTTCGTTCGTTTAACCGATATAATTTATTGAAATTTGCATTTATTGCAAAACTTACGAATACTATTAGAGAATATGTGTGATAGATAATATCTCCTATGATAGTACAGAAAATAAGGCATAAATGATCTTTACAAATTAACCATGAATAGGAAGGAATAAATAGAAAGATGTACAATACACATTTTTCAATAATAACTTGTGATTTATAGACCAAAGTAAGTCAACTCTCTTTGCAGTTTCCATTTTGTTTATCTTTATTTGTCTTTTGGACAAATCTTGTTTATCTTTATTTGCTTCTGATCAAATCTTGTTTATCCTTATTTGTCTTCTGGACAAATAAAGATAAAATTTGTGTGGAACAAAATAAACCTTGATACCGAACCTATAACAATCTTTCCCACCACCGACTGTTAGACCTTAATTCAGATACAATTTACATCGAAATACATTTCAAAAGGAATATTGTTAATCGTTTTTTCTTGAGATAAAAGCTACTACCGAAAGCACAAGCGTCCACATTGGAGGGAGCTTTGAAAAATATGGCGGGAAATAACCGTCATCTAATTGGCGCGGTTTCGAGAGGACGACGACGCCGTTTGCTTCGAGGCGAGAACACCTGTCCTCTCCCCGTTGCACGCATAGGATCGACACGGGCTGACCTCGTGAAAGAGGCAGGCACGACCGCGGCGCCTCGAGGGAGGCCTTCGAGACCGTGCGCGTTGCGTACCTTCAGTGACTGCGTCTCGGCGACGAGAGTGCGTTGCTTGTTGCGTAGCGTCGGTTGCCTCGAGGACCGCGGGACGTACACTCGCGGGGTCGCGAACAGCTAATTATTGGCATATCACAGTTGCGCCAGAGCAGCCGTCTCTCGTTGGACGCGCGTCGACGATAATTCCGCGATCACGTCGACGTTGTTCACTCGCTCGAGCTGGCGATCATTATTCACACCATCCAGAAACGATCGTATATGTTACACTTTATACTCCGTTTGCTCCGCGTCGTCCGCGTTCCGCTTCGCGCTACTCGGCTTGCCTTCGCCGGGAACAAAGCTGCCAACTTTCATGTCGCGCTATGTTACGCTTTGTATGCCCGCATCAGATTGGTCAGCTGACGACAAAATTCTAAAGTCCCTAGAGATTTTCTTGGGGAAATAATGTTTCTTATCGAACGGCCAATCCGCGCGCGTCTATCTCTCGCACCTGTGCAGGATTAGCTCAATAATTTCGAATTTTAACTAAAAAGTCACTAAAACTTTCAATCTAACTTATGTATAGGATCAGTAAACGAGTGGAAACAATTTTGGATGCGTTATTTCTGAACAAAAATGCACCTTTTTTTTTTTTTGTTGAGGCACGTATCGCCGTGCTTACATTTTATTTTATACAACTATTTTTATTCCGTTTTATCTATTTTATCATACGGCAACATTATTTCTTGCAAGATTGTATACTGTTGAATACTCAATGTTTTGTTCGGCATTACATTCAGAACTCTGTTGGCGGTTTTATATGCTTGCTTTTCTACCGTGAACGCACTATTAAAAAGGAGGAAAACGACACAAGCTCGCACACTGCAAACGGCAGAAAGGAAAGCATATAGACACGGAATAAATTGGAGTTAAATACAAAATGAAATCTCTACTGCTGTTCTCCATTCTCGGTGATTGATTTTGTAGCAGCAATTGTTCACATTGTCGAAAAATTGTCGAAATTCTTGCTAGGGGGGACGCGGCTTAATGGAATGATGATTGGACGAATGAAGAGATCGGTAGTAGTGAGGAAGAGTACCTGTGAAAAAAGTAGATTATGTATTTGTAAAACTTACAAATAATATTACAAAACATATATATCGTGCGCAGACAGTATACACAAAATCACATTAACAAAAAGTTCTAAAACATTAAATTAATTCGTGCTTTCTCACAAAAATAGAAATAATAGATATTAATATTGATATATTCACAAATAAATGTTGAGAGATTGCCGCTCTGATTTTTTAAGATAACGTTGAGAACGAGAGTTCTAAGAAGAGCGCGGCAACTCACCAGCGATTACGACGCGAATTGCACTGCGATCGCGAATGATTTTCGTTAGTACGGCTGGTGCCTCTGATTTTGGCGACCACCGCCTCCTCTTTGCTTGCCGCCATAACCGGAACCGCCTGAAACAATATCGATATTTCATCGTTAGATCATCTAAACTGTAAACATATAATTACAATTAGTACTAAATACACAAATTAACGCGTTCGCTGCCGGCTTCATAAATTATCCAATTGTGCCAGGAATCAGTAAGAATTTTCGGCTGCTGCTCTTTATTAAGAAAGACAATATATGTTAATAAAATAATAATTTTATAGGAAAAAATTAATGAGAATTGGCGTTCTTCGTTATTGAAAAATTGCTAGATAGCGTAAATTGATCGGCTAGCAGCAAACGTGTGATAACACAAATCGATTTTGTATGATGTAACACGCACACACATCTCGATAAAGATACACTACGCTATGAACATCAACCAATTACTACAAGAAAAAATACTACACAGATGATAAATGTAAGAACAAAGAGGCTACAGGCTAAGGTAGTAAGCTGCACACTATGCGGATTCGTACCCTTCCTTTCGAATATGCATCTCTCTGGAATTCTAATCATTTTTCCTTTTCCTTCGCTTCTATAATGACGAACAAGCAACATGAACTCGTAAGCAGATGACACAAGCATGGAAAACAAAATTTCTTTCCTGCCGAGTACTTTAGTACCTCTAGAGTTAATCGAAATTTGTATCAAAGTTATACATTTGCTCCATCTATTTTGACTGGAAGCCGGGGTTAAGTCGTTCCCGTCAAAGGGTTATAAGGATGGATGCATTTCTAGCGGTGGCAAAGCGTCAAACTAAATATAAAAAAAGAGAGAAAGAGAGAGCAAAATATATACAAAATGATGGGTAGTAAAGTATATCAAGGAACGCTGTAATGCGTACCTTTACCGCGTACACCACCGCGCCCGCCCGCGTAGCCACCTTCGTAATTACCACCGCCATAGCCATAGCCATCTGCGTTTCATGAAACACATGGTACAATGGAATCAGTATCCGCACGTACCATCGAGATTTTGAATACAGTATAAGTACAAAAAAAAAAAAAAAAAATAATGAACACGCGATCGTAAAACAAAAAATCGCTGCGAGATTTTTGTCCGAGGAAGAAAAATGAAAATTCCGAAGATACAGGATACTGACCGTTTTATGACAGAGAGTACCTCACCCTGCGACGTTACTTAAGTATCGAATTTGATTTACTATATATTGCTCTATTGAACAAAAAGCAAGAAAGGGAGGGAGAAGGAGATAATCACCACCATATCCACTGTAATCGTAACCATATCCACCGTATCCACCGCCGTAATAGTCGTATCCGCCGTAACCGTCGCCATAGCCGCCTCCGTAGCCACCTTGACCGTAGCCTCCGCCGTAGCCACCGCCGTAGCCTTGTCCCCAGCCACCTTGCCCGCCAAATCCGCGTCCGCGGCCGCCACGGGCGCCTCTACCGCGGCCCATCATTCCACCGCGCATTCCACCCATACCGTCCATCTTGGGCGTCGCTTTCTTTACATCCACCTGTTCAATAAGAGTACAAAGCCGATGAGAAAAGAGTCGCGTTTGACCTCTGAATTGTGTGAACTTGTATCGCAATACTAAAAATTAATAACAGTCCTATTGTTAGATAAAAGGACTGACAAAACTCACCGCTTTTCCATTAATAGTTTGTTTCGGTGTCTTGAGCAGTTCATTGACCACCTGTTCGGATTCAAACGTAATGAAGCAGAAACCTTTCCTCTGGTTCTTTGTCTTATCGAATGGCATCTCCACCTCGACAATCTGAAAGGACATGATACAATCGATATTTGTTTTCGGCTTGCACTTTTCTACATGTTTGCGAACAAAAGATACTTACATTTCCAAATTGTGAAAAGAAGTTCTTGATATCATCGTCAGACAATTCAGTCGACAGACCGCCTACAAAGATTTTTCCATGTCTAGCTTTTGCTTTTTTGGGATCGACTTTTTTGTTGTTGATGACGTGATCGCCGGCTGACATGATCTGCAAAAGGATTATTAAAGGATTATTAAATTATCGCGTGTGCGACATTAATTTAAAGCGTTTAAAATTTTTTATTCATTGATTACCGACTAAAAAAAATTGTAAATTACTTTGTCAAGAGCTTCGGCTTTGGCAAAAACAATAAAGGCAAAGCCTCTCGATCTCCCTGTGTTGGGATCTGTTTTGACATTGATACTCTCAATATCGCCATATGTGCTAAAATGTTCTCTTAATTCCTCTGAAACGCGCAAAATTGGAATTAAAAAATATCTACTCGATTTTCGGACAAAGATGCAAACTTGTCGGTAATTTTTAAAAAGTAAGAATACTCACTGTCAGTAGTTTCCCAGCTCAAGCCACCGACAAATAATTTTCTGTAAACAAATAAACAAAAACCAAAGTTTTAAATAAATGTAATGGAGGATAACAGCGCTTACCGCCCTAACTTTCCAATCGCAATTACGGTGCTACGGTATTATCATTACTATTATTTCAATTGAATTTTTGTAGGCACACAATAATAAAATAAATGAAAAAGTGGAATTAGAATCGAATATGCCTATATCAATCATAGAGTCCTGATTACTTCCGGTCAACCTGCAAAGCAATGGAACTAATTTATTTTACCAAAGGGAGAACAAGAGAGATTTTTATAAACATTATATTAACAAAATTAATTGCTTCTAAGAATTTATGTGATTTAATGTTACTCCTGAGTCAAAGTTGTACTACAATTTAACAGAGTGCAATTGACCATCCATGATGCTATCTGGAAAAGGGCACTGCAAAAAATTTTGATGGCATTTATATAGGCATGATTATATCGCTTCGATTGCAAGAAATCGAAATTCCAATTGCAGCAACACACAATGTAGGTCTTACATAGAAGGTATCGTCTTACATGTAGATTTGGAAAAATAAACACGTTCCTTGCGTGAGAGACTAAACAAGATTGTTATTCTGACAGCAAGGGGTAAAGTTACAAGATACCATATCCCTAAAACAAATGAACTCTGGATAAAAGTTAAATGTACGTTATATTACATAAGTTACATACGTAGTTGCTACGCGATAGCGCAGTAGAAATTGAAGTTACGGAGAGACGGCGGTTTTGCGCATCACACAGGCAACTCGATTTGAACACCATATAACAAGTATCAAGTAAAAAACATTAAAGGAAAAGTTTTAGAAAAAAAGTACATATACATATATATGTATTATGTGTATGTGTGTGTATGTGTGTGTGAGAATGTAATAATAAAAATAAAAAACGCATCAAAGAGAGCAAAAGTACTGTTACAACGATGAGATCCAAATAAGCTACAACTCCAGTTGACATACGGCTGCCCCTAAAGAAAATACAAACAATTTCTCTAAGTTACAAATCCCGATTATTAATTGGCCCAAATTAATGGCATGTGGTAGATTGACTGCAACTCTCTATATTGGAAAGCTAAAAATTAATTTGCATATTACAAACAGATTAACATTGGTCACTGTATGTGACATTTTGCTCTGTTCTTATCTTTCACTCTTTTTTTTTTATTATTTGACTTCGTTTTAAGCAACAGTATTGTGCATTACATCAGACACTTTTATATGCATATATAAATCTTTTATCTTACAGATTCACGTTCATCAAGAAGGCTTACATTACACACGACTTGTCTCGAGTCTTGAGATACACTTCATATTTTTTCGCATTTCAAATAACAAGCTGCAATATGTATACACTTTGCTTTTTTTTGTTTTTTTTTCTATCTTTTCCTTAACTTTTTTTCCGGCTTTTTTTGTGTTAAATATGTACTTATATATGTTTATCGATATAAATATATCATTTTTGTATATCATCTAGGGCTGATGATAAATACCATGGGTACCAGTCACTCGCCGGTATCTGTTGTCAGGTCAGGTCACAGTTAGCCAGTTGCAAGCAGCCCGCCATAATCGCACTGGGATGTTTGCCACCTGCAGACCAAGTCACAGAAACTGCGTTAATGGCGTTCCGGAGCCTATCGGAGATGTTTGCATTGGCCCTAGTGTCTCTGTGCATTTGCTCATTGCCCAAATAATCCAAATATTCACACTCGAATCAGCGGAAATTACTCTACTCTGTAATTATCCAGCAGGCAAGTATGTGTCGCTATAACACATATTTTGATCTCAAGTAACACGAGACTCGATTTGACTCCCAGGCACTTTCGTGTCGTGACGGAACGTGATGGACTTGAGAACTCGATGCTCGATCGCTCACAATAATTCCGACCCCGAAGTTCATTCACGAGGCTTCGCAGTTCAATTCAGAGATCCCAGACAAGCATTGGACGCATTTTGTCAATCGTTTTGAGCAATTGACTAATCTGAATTTGACTGTAAACTGTACTGTGAATAAGGACAGATGACTCGCAACTGACTCAAACATGGATTTCAAAATTAAGTTCTATAAAAAAAAAAAATACAATACAAATGTGTTATTCTTACAGGATATATATAAGTAGATCTACAAATACATACAAACTTTATCAATGATGAAATTGTGACTGCCCTCCATTAATAATAGAACTAGAAGAAAGTTAATCGGCTAAGTGAAAACAGAAAGAAGAAATTTACAAAAAAAAGTTAGAAAGTTTGAAACAGGTAGACACATACCTCATAATTGTAGCACACGTGTAATTATAATTATATTATAGTAAAATGAGCATAATTATATTTACCTTACTTTCTTTTTTAACTTGTTACAACAATATAAAAATATTTCAAACGGATTTCCCGGGAGTGCATTGTATTATACGACACAGTAAATTGTTTAACAATTCACAATTATTATCTCTGCATGTAAATATCTAAATTGTAATTGTATCTATGCAATAACGGAATACAGAATTGCAAAGTGACATTAGAGATTCGTTACGTCTCATGAACTCTCTGCGCTCCAAAGTAGAGACAAATATAAACGCCGGTTTCGAGGCGAGGAAAAAAAAAAAGAGTAAAAAATCGTAGTGTAGAAAGAGAGCAGAGAGTACACGCAACGCGAACAAATCTTTCTTTTTTTTTTCTCTCGGAGCAGCACGAAAAAAGAACCCCATCTCGTACGCTACGACTCGATGATAAACTCCGCCCCTATTCCAAAGCGCTAGAAAACAAAAAGATGTGCACTCGTACGTGCGTTGCGACCGTGAGATGCTGAGTGATCGCGCGGGAAAGCAACCGGCACCCGGTATACGACCGATGCGAACGGATTTGCGTTTCGCCGGAGCGGCCTTCGCCATTTTGTTCGACTCGTGTCGGAAGCGAAGTCCGCCGAAGGGGGACGCCGACTGATTTCGCGGGAAAACGCCACCGTAAAATGCAACTTTATTCGAGCCGACGCGTCGCCGGGATGGGGCGCGGGACGAATGCTCGCGAAATCGATTCGATCGCGACGATATCGACGAGTATCTCGTGAGTGGAGACGGAAAAAGTCTTACCTGTCCTCCTGCGAATCCTGGCCATTCTCCACGGCGTCGCCGCCGCCGCCGCCGCCACCGGCACCGCTATCGGCCTCGCCGTTCTTCTCGAAATTTTGCTCAGCTACATCCTCACTGAAGTCCTTGTTTTCTTGCTGATCAGCCATTGTTTACGTCGCGTATCACACACTCGCCGTGTCAACGATACTGGGAGGGAAGATCGGGAAGGTAGAAAATAATAATGTCCGCACTATATCGGAGGACAACTGCGCTGAGACGGATCCACGATGAAAGGAGAACGCCGAGCGGAACGCCCGTATCGCTTCACAGACGCCGGCTCGCCTCGCCCTCTTTAGGTAGAAATTAATGTTAGACCGTGAAGTGTAACATAGATGGGTGGACTCAAACGACATAAAATGAATTCTCGAAATAGCCGAACATGTCTCAATATCCGATCGCATAATAACAAAACAATTATTATTTAATCTTTATAAATATTAATTGTATATTAATTATACTGTTAATTGTAAAAAATATTTATTAAAATAAGCAAATTTTCTTAGAAAATCTATGATTTCATTGGTCAACAATCTAGTGAGTTTGTTCTTTTTTTGTAATTAAGAAAGGAGACAGAAATAGCACGTCTGCTCTTTTCAGTGTTCAACTATCGAAGTGCAGAGCTTCACATGTATGTACGTGGGTTGCGCATGTGTGCGGTATTCCCTCCCTCATGCTGTTTGCTGTTGTGTCTCAAATCTGGCGTTATTGGTGGATAGAACTGAACGCTGACTTTGACAGGTGACAATTCGGTGCCTTTGGCACGTACGATGACGTAAGATCCGGCACGCCGGATCTCATTCCGAATACGCACATTCGAGTAATTAATTATACGGTGAAAAATGATGCCATGCTAATTGCCGGTTGACACGAATTGAAGGACAACTCGGCGCAGCACAAACCGGTGTCTTCAGGCATGGACAACAGTTTCGCGGCTGGCACTTCTTGAAGATTGTCAGCAGGTGTTTGTATATGTTCGTACATACATACTTATATATTTTTATTCATAATATGTAACTTTATTCTTGTTAACAATTCTCATTATATATACAGACAGTTGTGTCACACTTCAAAAACTTTATCATGGCTTCTGCTACGGAGCAGCAACAGCAGCAGCAGCAGCAGACCACATTGGAGTTTTACCAGGCGATGGCCGACTTCAAGAACATGTTTCCACAGATGGATGATGATGTGATAGAGGTAAGAAGGTCAAGCTTGCTGATAGGATGATTATCATATTGCTGCATCATTGTAGCTGATGTTGAATTTATATTCTGTACATTTATTAGGCTGTGCTGAGATCTAATCAGGGAGCTGTTGATACTACAATCGATCAGTTGCTCACTATGAGCACTGATAATGAAAATGAAAAAATCAGGAGTGAACTGGAGCAGAAGGAAGAAGTCCCAAGTGTCGCCAAGTCACCGGCAAAAAGAGACCCTAGCAAATTGTTAAAAAGTAATCAAAAGTGGCAACCTCCACTATTAGGACCATTGCCGGATACTTTTCTGAGACTTCCTCAGCAAACATCAGAGGATGGTGTTGACTCGTCGTATTCGCAAGAGAACTCCATGCTGGAGGACGAAAGAATCGCCATGTTTCTACAGAACGAGGAATTCATGGCGGAACTTCGTTGGAATGAAGACTTTCTGTCCACATTAGAGCACGGTACAGACTGGGGTATTTTTGAGAAGACATAATTCGAAAAAAATAACGTTTATGGAAAAAATAAAATATTTTTTCTTTGTAGACTCAAAGCTCGAGAAAGGTAGCAGTCAAGCCGGTCACGATGACGAAGATCTGTTCAAAGAGAGGCTAAAAAATATGGGCAAATGTAAGCAAGCAATCAGGAGAACAGTTGAAAACTTAAAAATAAGGTAGTTTTTTTTTTCTTTTAACGATGAACGCACTTTTGCAGTGTCTCGGCGTAAATTTGCGCAACTTACGAAGGTGTTCACTCGCAGTAAGAAACGCGGTGGCAGGCAATTGCTGCCGCCGACAGCTTCACGCGACGATCTCCTGGATCCGGAAGAGTCATCTAAGCCTCAATCCTAAAAAGAAATATCTGTTATTACAATCCTGTGCAGAACCGTCTGTACTCATCTCACTTCACACTGCGAAGAACGGCGAAAACTTAACGGCGTTTGCAGCTTAACGTAATTTAGATGTCACGTCACGGAAACAAGCATATCTATGTTGTAACTTGCGAGAGACGCTGGTGTTATGTTGGGAATCGTGTAAGATATGTTAATTAGCGGTTTAGAGATTTCTGACTCGTACGACGGCCGATGATTAGCTATGTGGAGATAATGGAATTGCAAGGCTGAGATGTTTAGAAGGTGCGTCAGTCAGAAAACGAAGAGACTCACCGAAGATAGTGAATAACAAGTAAAACGCTTAAAAAGATAAAAAAAACATTATCAAAACGTACGTATCTCAAGTAAATATGCAGATATACGTATTATATAGGGATAGTGCATTAATTAATGTTAATGTCTTTCCCATTAAGGATATAGATTTGTTCTAATTCTTACAAATTCAGTGTGATATTTTACCATATATTGTGATGCAAATTTTGTTTTAATAGATTTTATATTCCGTTGTAATGTACGTTGCTTGCGATTGTGCGTACTATCGCGTACGATCGCTTAAAGACTGGCATGAGAAAGTTTTCGCAGAAATTTATCAGGCGACAATCCCGTGAGATTGTTGCTGACGTTGGAAAAATGTTTAATTTAAGATCGATGGTCATCGTTTTTACATTAACGTGACAATTGAGACGAAGATTCTTATTACACGCCAAGTACGTGATGCATTGGCTTTTTATTTTTAACAAACGCGGCTACGAAAGTAGTTGATCATGTTGTGTATATATATACATAAAAATATATATATATATATTTATGTGTGTCTATCGTGCGCCAATAATACGTTAATGTTGTTAGGCAGGATAGTTTATCGAAAATTTAGAAATCGCAACATCGATCTTAATTGGATTGAATCGGTTTTTTTGAAAATTCAATTCTTGAAAGAGTGGAGATCCGGTCTCCTCGAAATGACTGATTTATCAAAAGAAGAGCGGATGAAGGCTCGTGCCACATTCTTCCAAAATTCTCATCTCACTCTTACAATAATCGTACTTCGATAATTTCTCAATGCCTCTCCTATTAAATTTAAATAATTTAATTCAACGCTTGAAACACTACGAATGTTAGACGCCTTCATCCACTTACTCTTTCGGTTCTGCTTGCAATCGCAAGTAGCAAGGGCACCTCCGTTAGTAATAAATCCTAGTCACTCAGTCTAGCCATTATTTATTGAACGAGAATCTGATATTGTAACGATATTGTGAATGTAGAAAATATTTATAAAAATGGTCGTATACATATATGAAGATTTTAAGATCATTTACAACAATACGTGCTATAATGACAAATACAGATGTATAAGAATAAATTGCGAGACGCATGATTGGATTATATTTATTTTACACTCCGTTTGTGAACTGAAAGTTACGGAAGAAACGGTTGCAAATGTACGTTTGCTTGAATTTTTCTTTCAAACCATTTTTCTCCCACCAATCGAAAATTTGACTTAGATTATCAGCATCCAAGAGCACAGAGTGATATATTAAAGCATCCAAGTGAGCCGGCCGTTCCGCGTTACGTGTCGGGCAGCCTAAAAAATACCCTGGCGCCCGAGAGACTGTAGTATAGCAGCTGAAACTCGGCCTTTCTCTCGGCGAGGCGTTTGAGAGTAAGCGCCCGGGTCTGCTGGAGCTTCTCGTCGCCGTGATCGTCCTTGCTCTCGGCGGCTAGCTTCTCCTCATCGATGTACTGCTCCACCGTCTTGAACCAATGTAGGCCGTTCAGTTCAGTGTTTTGATTAAGCAGCGCGTTAATGTAGGCGATACCCATGGCAAAGCCGTCGTCGGTGAAGGCTGCGCCGGTCTGATTCTTCTTGAACATCTTCTCCTTGTTGGACACGGAATTGTCGACGAAGCTGAGCGTCAGCGGCGGCACGATCGCGTAGAACTGCTGTAGATGATAGGACTTGGCGTCGCGGAATGCTGGCGCGAACACATCCACCAGCAACTTGAAGTAGTGGATGCCTTCGGTGAAGTGGCGCACCAGATCGGCGATGTCGTCCTCCAATCGTCTGGCCGCGGTCTGCGTGGTGGCGCTGTAATTCAATCCACGACAGAGCGATTCGAACGGTACCGTTCGCTCGATGTCCGGCAGGAAGGACACGGCGTTGGAGCTGGCGTGGAGGCCGCCAGAGCGGATCAATCGTACGTAGCCAAGCGCATTGCCGATCTGCGTGATCAGCTGGCGGAACTGGTCCAGGTAGCTCAGCCCGTCGGCGGTCATACCCAGTTTGCGGATGCCCTTTTGAAACTTCTCCGCGCGCTCGTACGTGTACGGAGCTGCGCCCGCCTCTCGCTGCGCCCGGACGAATCTGATGTCGCGCATCAGCCGAGACTTGATGTGCTCGTCGAAGAGGAACTGCGAGAAGGTATGCAGCTTGACGCGCAGGAACTGATAGACGAAGTTCACCGTGGTGCTCATGATGCCGGTGCCGTGGGTGCGAATCGAGTTGGCGATGTGCCGGATGCCGATGGTGTTGAGATGCTTGTTGCTGCTGCTGTGCTCCACAAATGTCTGCGTGTTCAGGTTGTACAGGTACCTGGATGGCGACAAAAGCCGGTTAATTAATTTCTATAATCTTAATTATAAAATGTATAATGATTAAAAAACTTGTAATTATTTTGTATAATTGTGTAAAACACGGAATCATGCTTTCTTATATATTTAATAATTCTAACTACCTGGAGACAAACACGTGGATATTACGCATGATCTCCAGAGCGTCCAGGCCCTGTTCGAGAGTCTGCGTCGGTAGGTGATCCTGCACCGTGTCCAGGCCCATCTTGTAGCTAGCCAATGCGTGCATTGTTCGATAGGTTCTCCAATCGTGCAGAGCAACTGTCGTCAGATTGTAGAACATGTCGTCCAGATAGTGCTCGACGAATCTCTTGGCGCAGACCATATTCTCGGCCAGTGGCAGCGGCGGGACTCGCACCACCCTGCCGCCGTCTTTGGCACCGACGTTGAAGGGATTCGTGGAATCCAACTTAAGATGAGCATGTACATGCAACCGCAAGCTGGTTTCGATCTCGTGGCAAGCCGGCCTCAGCACGTTCTTCACTAGATTCTCCCTGAGCTCGGCGATGCGTCTTTCCCTCACCTCGTCCAACCGCTGTTCACCCACGGCAGTGTTAAAGGCGGCAAACAGGTGGGTGACATGGCAGACGCCGGTGTTGCCGTCCATCGCCGAAGACAAGTAGGCAGGTAGTATGTTCTGATGATGGAGCAGTAGTGAGTAGTCGCCGAGCTCGTCCACCAGTTCATACAACTCGGCCACGGAGTCGTAGCTGTCCAGCAGAAAGCGCAGCTTCACCACGTCTTCCTCGCGGAAGGTATCGGTCAGCTGGCTGGCGCACGCCAGTGCGCAGCGTATTATCAGCCGCCTGTCCGCGCTTGCTGGACCGCCCATCAGCCGCATACTCAATCCTATTAACGACAATGCGTCCAGCCGTTCCCTGCTATACCCCTTGTCCCGTTGAACGAGACCTTTGCGTGTTGTTTCTAGCATAGCCAGCACGTAATAGGCCAGGTACTGCAACACTTGCGCCTGCGACTGCACCACGATCGGCCCGAGCGTGTAGAACATCGTCTGCAGGGACTTCTGCAGCTCGACAAGCCGGCAGATTAGCTGCACCGTGCCACGGCTCATCGGTCTTGACAGTGAAGCGTGCAGATTCGTTACAAATGCGACAGTCTCCCGCATCTGCGACAGTAGAACCAGCAGATCCGTCAGTAGAGTGCGCTTCTGCCCGATGTCTGATACCTGCAGGTCGGTCTTCGTCAAGATGCTCTGCATCTCCACGCACCAAATAGTCGCGCGTTGTATCAGATTGCTCACTGTAGCCGGCAGTCTCTGCGTTCTCGCCTGCAAGATCTTCTCGCCCACTTGCGAGCTCACGGCGCTGCCGGTCTCCTTCGGCGCAACGTTACCGAGGAACTTGCTAGGTACCAACATCACGTTTCCCACTAGCGTGACGGCGTAGAACCTTTTGTTCGCCTCCAGCACCCTCTTGACCAGCTTCTTGTCGCAAGCGCCGAACAGCTTTATCACTATTGCCACGCCGACATTGGCTCTTATCCAGTTCTTGTTCAACGCGGCGTGATCGCTAGATTTGCTTTCCACATCCGTGATTGTGTTCTTCAGATAGCTGACAATCTGCTCACTCATAATTGCACCCTTGCTCACATCCATCACGTGCTCGATTGCCCTAGAAAACATATTTTTGCGCAGTAACTTCTCCTGCAGATCCTTCAGCAGATGATCGAACGTCTCCAGCTTCGCATCCGCAACGCCAAACTGCGACGGATTGTGCATTACAGAGCGCACTTGTATCCGGTACTTCTTCCACTGCTCCACTATTGTCGGCTGAGCGTCGATGATCTCGTCGAGAGTTAGGAGGATCACGAATAGATCTATAAAACTCTCTATAAGGCTTGGTAAGTAAATTTCATGAACAACGCCGGATAAACTTGCCAACTGTTGCGTAGTCAAATGCACAACAGTCAGCATTCGGTTGGTGAAAATGGACAGATCCTGAAGATCGGACAATAGTTTTGTTACATTAGCGAGGTCATTGTCTGCACATCTTTCTCCGTGTGCCAGTAGTTTTCCATAAAAACCAGTTGCTTCCACCTTTCAGTAGCCTGATCTCTCTGCATGTTCCTGCCACAGCTGCCAGCAGCTTAGATAGTACCTTGTTCTCCATCTCCACCAGGGAGAGAATACTGATGTCCTCTGCTGTTTTGTAAACTAGCCGCAGAGGACCCTCTATAATATACTCAAGCGTGGAGTCGCTCTTCCAAGACTTCTCCACCAACTTTTCGAAAAACTCTCCATACTTTCGCAGATGCATAGCACCTGCGGCCTTGTAGATGGTCTCATCTTTCTTGGAGTTCCACGTAGGTGCTTCTATCATTCTTGATTAATAAAATTATTATTTAGATAATCTGTAAATCATTAGGGACATAAAATAATAAAGAAATTCTTTTATACACTTCTGAAAAAAATCAATTTATAGACGTATTATAAATTAAAATTCTGTAAATAAAATATGCAATTTGTATACATAATAATAGAGTGCTCACCTTATACATATATATATATATTTGTTTTATATCATTTATATATTGTTTTCATATATATTCTTCCTGGCTTAAACAACAGTGTTACATATTATTTTGTTTCTGCAGTGTATCCGATCCATTATTGTCATTCCACTCAAAATTTCAACTTACAATGACATTGCTTACGTTTTAAGAGGCGGCTTCTAACTCTAATCTAACCAATTCCACACTGTCAAGCTTATCAAACACTGTGTAATACTTTAATCAGTACATTCTGCTACTCACGATAGATGGCAATATTCTACCAAGTATATCGACAGACGGTACATTCATCCAGTTAATAAAAAATACCAATTAAAAAATTCTTTTATTATCTCTTATTACAATTTCAGAATTTTTCTTGTTTGTATATATTAAAAAAATTTTGTATCTTCGTTATTTAAACAAAGCATAACTCAGAAAAAAAAGTTGCGCAGCAATCGTCCATATTGATATTTTTATTACCAGTACAGATTTTATTTATTTCTATACAAATGAGATAGAAATTTATATGATTCCAATCTTGTTGGCGACATCGAGCGCGTCATAGTCGCGCGTTAAACGCACATAAGCCTTCTTCTTGCCGTCTGGCCTCATTAAAGTATTCACTTTCGCCACATCGACATCGTATAGCTTCTTAATGGATGCTTTAATGTGATATTTGTTGGAACGCGTGTGCACGATGAAGACCAGTGTGTTGTTGTCTTCAATCTTTTTCATCGCCGCTTCCGTCGTCAATGGGTACTTTATGATATTAAAAGCATCCATTCTGAAACACAAGTTGCAGAGAGGTAATGATACATTCGAAAGGCAATTACATATATCAATTTTTATAAATAATCTAAAAAAAAAAGACTTCAAGTCCTACCGATTTCTGTTCGGTACGGATTTGCGCGGATACTTGGGATTCCTTGGTGGTCTGAAAGTTTTAGGTCTGTGGAAATGGACAGACGTCCTAATCTTCCGTACTCTGGATCCATGCACTCCCTTCAAAATCTGTAAAGTATAAATGTGACTGTTAATAGATAATACGTTTAATAAGAAATCGTACATCTCTTACATTTTTTAATTGTTCAGTATTGTGTTAAAAAATCTTTTCATGAAATTTCAAAGAGATTCCCACAGTTAAAATCATCATGTACAAGAAAGTATCACTTGAAGCTGAAAAAATAAACAATTTCTAAGTAAGATTGTTTTAAGTACCTTTTTCTGCGCCTTAAGAGCTTTTTGAAGAGGAGCCGCTGGCTTTCCTCCCTTTGGAGTCTTTTTAGCAGCTTGCACATTTTTCTTTGGCTTGCTGATCAGTGGTTTGCTGGCAAGCTTAAGCACAGGTTTAGCTGCAGGCTTGGCTGCAGCGGGTTTAGCAGCGGCAGCCGGCTTGGCAGCTGCTGGTTTCTTCGCTGCCGCAGGCTTGGCTGCGGGTTTTGTCACCTTGGAGGTGGAAGCCGCTGTGGCTGGTTTTTTCTCAGCCTTCTTCTCCGTTTTCTTCTCTGCAGGCTTGCCTATATTCATATAAGAATAAAATAAAAACAAAAATTAAAAATATTAATGGCTCCGTAGCCATTATTATATCATGCTTAATTAAAAGTATGTTTTAAATTTATATTACTCTTAGAGGTGAACACGGGTAAGACTTGTATCTCTATTTCTTGCTCATACTTGTACTTTGTAGGTTATAATATAAACGTACAGAACTTATCGAATAATACCGTCACTGAATGGCATATCACAAATAGTTTATACAAAAATGATGCGTGAAATCTCGGGGAATATTTTTCTGAAAATATTGTTGTCGCAAATAGAATATTATAGACATGTTGTTTAAACAATCATCGACCACATGGTGGTATCAACGTGCAAGGCATTCTCGAGCTTGTTGCTACTGATTTTGAGTCTCGTTGAGTAGCGTTATCGTAAATCTGCGATTAATTAATTAACAAAGCATAATTTATTCTATTTGCATATTTTCCGAACCGAATGCCGAAATAAATTTTTACCTGCTTTATCCCCAGCTTTCTTGGGAGCCATTTTGCTAGAAAGAATGTCGCGTACGACGGAAGCGCACACGTCGGCCAAACCAACAATTATCAGCTACTACGCTAATTGTTGACAGACGAAACATTTTCAAAACGTCAAGCAGATTATTGGCTGTCAAAATCGATTATCCTTCGACGAAGTTTATAAGTTACAATCAGTTACAATTGTTAATTAACAAAATAATAGAAAGAGTAAGTTATAACTTTATCTGAAGTAAAGAAAGTAATCTGAAAATTATAATATTCCCGATATGTAATATGTTACAATACATTTATTTAACAGTTATTGTTATATTTAAAATGCTGCAGATAATACAAGATAAATTTCTTGTATTTTACAATAATTTTACAATAATTTACATTTCAGATATGACGTATATTGTTTTCGTCAATGATACCCCTGTAAGATCTCCACGCAGCACGTGTTACAACCGTGTTGCACCTGCCGCAGCAACCAATGTTTTGCTATTACTGCGTGGAGTTACTCAAGGTCTTTTCGTAGTAAATGTCAGTCTCTTACGAGAAATATTAGACTCGGTAATAAAAAAGATCATAAGGAAATGATCTTTGCACAAGTATGCGAAGTTAAAATGAGTGTATAATTATGCTAAATGTGCATAAAAAAGTAATGAATGGTTTTTTCTATACATGCTTTATAAACTTTAATACGATTTGTCTAGAAGAGCAATGTTGGAAACACGCTCTGCAGTTTATAAAATGATGAAAGAAGTAGCTCATGATGAGAGGCAGGTGAGAAATTCTATTGAAAGTGATATACATTACAAAGTACATATTTTTAAAGGACCGTTTCAGTCAAGAAGTTTATTTTCAATCACCTACAACATCTTAAATGTTTATACAAAAAATACATAAAAATTATTTGCCGCGAAAAAGTTGAATTCAAAAGGTCTTAATTAACATTTAATTAATAATTGTCTAACACATTTTTCGCCGACAGATAATAGAGTGGCCGCCACCGTTTTCATCCGAGATCACTCCGTACACCGAAAACAATTTCGGCGGCTTGATTAGACGAACCTGCGAGAACAAGAGCTTAACACTTGGAATTTCCAAGGTGATTGTCATCGGTGACGTTGCCGTCGGCAAAACATCGTTGGTAAATCGGTAATTACTTGACACAGAAAGTACAACAAAATGTTTATTCAACTTTCTAAAATTATCTCGCAATAAATGCTTTCAATTTCAATCATTAACGTAAAGATTAGAATGATAAAGCAATTTATGTCGTTTCTTCTTGCAGCTTTTGTCATAAATTCTTCAACAATAATTACAAAGCTACCATTGGCGTGGACTTCGAAGTGGAAAGATTCGACATTCTTGGCGTGCCTTTCCATTTGCAAATGTAATAAAACTGAGCTCAAAGATGCTTAAAGATGATAAATGATAAATGTTTGAACATGACAAGATGATAAATGTTTGAAAATAAGAATAATTTATATGCATACACAATAATCATTTGTGAATAATATTTCTAGATGGGATACTGCGGGACAGGAAAGATTCAAGTGCATAGCAGCGTCTTATTATCGCGGCGCTAATGGTGAATATATTTCCTACAAGTTTTATTCATTTATTTTATATTATTTAAATGTATATTTTTACTTTACAGTGATCATGGTTGTTTTTGATTTGGGAAATTTAATGTCGCTAGCACACTGCCAACAATGGTTAAACGAGGCACGTCTGAGCAACATTGGTCATTATCATATTTTTCTAGTCGGCACTAAAAAGGATTTATTGGTAAGTGCAAAAATAAATTAAAAAGTTTCCGGAAAGTTATTTATTATAAAAATTTAAACAGTGGCTTATTTTTCTGCATAATATTTAAAAACATTTTTTTTTTTTTTAATTGAAAAACTATATTGCTGAAAGAAATATATTGAAAAAATAAAGTATTTACGTAAAAAACTAAGCTCTATGTTTGGATTTTTACAATAAATGTTTATCTTTTAATACCGACTTTTTTGCCAGAACTTTGCCTTTGATATGGTAACATCTCTTTTCACTAAAATTGTGCATTTCTTTTTAAATGCTAGTCTCATTCGGTATACGAAATAATTGAAAAACGAGCGGCGGAAATGGCGAAGAAAATGCGAGCGGAATATTGGGCAGTCTCGTCAAGAACGGGTAATGGGGTGTTCGAATTATTTACGCGCGTTGCCGCACTCTCTTTTCACGCGATGGCATTGCGCGAGATGCAAAGCCTGAAACTCGAGCCGATTAACATTGGTTCTATGATAAGTAAGTGAAAAAATCCAGTGGCTAAAATAATTAAAAAACAGATACATTCCAGCAAAGACAAATTGTCAATTGTTCTTTTTCAGCGCTGAAACCAAAAGAAACCGAGAAGAAGGTACAGAGAGTGCCGAAATGCTACAAATGCCCGACGTAATGAGTATATTTATAATAAATATTAAATAAGATTAAGATAACAAGTTAGTAAATAAAGATAAAAAATTATTTGATAATATGTATGCACATGCACGCATGAGTTTGATAATTGTGATATCATTTGATACTTCGTTTGTATATCAATTAAAAATGAATTTCAGCATTACTGTTTTATCCATTTGAATTTCGCGCGTCAACTATGCGCTTCCAATTATCGCCGTTCTCAAACGATTGTCGCCTCGGTAGCCTTGTATGATCATCGCTAGATTTTCATTGTGAGAAAAAAAACTTTGCAACACCGTTGATCGCCGATTGCGGCCGAGCGTGACCGAGCGTCACGTCTCTCGCGCAACGTACTTATACCCTTCGTTGCTCTCGGTCGTGGAAATTCGATCTTTATCGAATTCATGCACGTTCAGCGGAAAGGAAGAAGCCTCCGTCACGTGAATTTGTCGTCATAGGAAGACAGCGAATACGTGGATCATTGTTTGATTGAGCGTCTACTCGTGCCGTCGGTTATCTGCTTGACAGGTAAATTTCGAACTGCATTCCACAAGTGCTATAGGAAGTTGGTGGAGGGGGGGAGGGTAGCGAGAAGCGGAATAGCAAGTCACGTGACCGCACAATCGCGTCGAATTTTGCGAGGATGCGCGAATTTTATATTTTATCTTCACAAAAGTGCATAACTCGAGAACGTTTTACGACGATAGGCAGCGTGTATCATGCATTTCATATTCATTATGCGTAATATTCAAATCGAATAGCATTATGATTGCTTTGAAATGCAAGAAATAAGTAAATGCATCAGCCATGAAAGTATCACAAAGTATAATGCAATCCGTCAGAGCACGGAGTGACATAATCACGACTTAATGTCGTACTGATATCTTATCACTATTTTTTTATCAGTGTAATTATCAGTGTGTGTGTATGATCAGTGCGTGTAACGATTAGCTCTTACTTGAAATAATGTTTGAATCAATGATCTCATTTTTTGCATATTATATTAACGAAACCTTGTGTATGATAATTTTTAATTAATTGCACGATTCGTTTATTTTATATTTCCAAAGATTAAAAAATATCAATAAAGCGCGTATTATGAGATATTCTGCGTTGCATTATGTACTGAATGCCACGTGCTACTTGAAGATAAATAAATTTTTTAATGATTACTTGCAGAAGTGCAATACAAAGATTAAGTGTGCAACAGGAAATTAATCTTTTTTTAAGTCACTTGATAATAATTTCCGCGAACTGTATACGCGTGAAATAAACAATATGATTTTGATGAATTTCAATATAAATGTCGCAATAAAGTTTAATTCAAAGTATTGCGATAACTCCTTCAATAATTTTACAATTTAAAAGTAAATCTTACAATTAATCTTATAATAATGTAAAAGAATTAATTTAAAACATTAATCTTATTAATTAAATATTAATTTTTATAATATTTAATTAATTAATAATTTGTATTTATATTCACACGTCTCACCTTTTTATATCAAAATAATGTCACGATAGCCGAATAAGGTAATAGTAATTGAAAAAATTATTAATCTTGAAAGAATATATTTATCAGAAAATGGGAATGTGTGTGAACATGTGTCAAAACACCTTGTAGATATTATTACATCTATGCGCGTCGGGAGAAACGCGATAATTGACGTTTACTCACAGAAATGCAATGTGAATGGCGCCTTGCATCAATTCCTATAACCCGTTTTAAGTTTATGGGACGCTTTCACTAAACACGAAAATCCAGCTGACTGTTAAATACAATTATCTTATAAAATTTATTTTAGGTAAAAATATGTATAGTATATGTATAGTATTCTATAGCGCGCGTAAATTCTCTATTGCAAATTTTTTAAAAATAGACTTGAATCCAAATCGTTTAAAATAGACTATAAATACAAATTTTTAATAAAGGTAAAGAAATTCTCGAAATTTTGTCGCGACTAAAGTGCACTTAATATACACAATTTATTAAAAAAAATCAACGCATTTCAAAGCAAGTTTTTAATGTTACAGATTAATATTACGTAAAACCAAATGTCATAGATCTAGAATTTTTACCACAGTTTATTATTCTTTCAGACATTCTTATGAAGTCGATAAACAAATTTATGTTTTAGATAACGAACGATTATTTTTATCTTTCCTGGTCAAAATCTGCTAGTTATCAATTATTCCTAAAACTTGTAAATATTCTATTGAACTAAATTTTAAATTTTTATTGAAAAAAAAATTTTTTTTTACATAATTTTTTATTAGAGAAAGCAGTGATAAGTGGAACGAAGGTAGATTTCAAGGTTTTCTAAGATTTACGACGCTTTGTCTGAAAATTGTTCCTAAGATTTCTCTTTCCAATACGATCTAACACTTTCAGATAAAAAAACCTTCTGTTGCGATCTTTGATCCAATGTATTATTCAAAGACTTCATAGTCGACGGTTGTCGTCGGCGACTGTCGAATAAGTTATGCTTGCATTTAGAAAAGTTTATTTTTATCAGATAATAAAAAACGACCGTGAATGAAAATGATTTAAAATATATGTACGGAAGAAAATTTATATACAAAGAGCATTTGCTTTCTTTATATTTGCAGATTATTTGCTGTAAAATGTATTGACATGTGTGTCAGGTCAACACAAGCCGGTACAATTGTGCAATAATTTTGTTTGATTTTTTAAATATAATTAATATAAATTGTATTTTTTTAAATCTACGATATTATCTACGATATTAATATCTACGATATTACAGCACATACATATGTTGACTCGTGTTGATCTACATTTGCACTCTATTAGACTTACCTTAAAAAATTTCTACCTTCTAAAAACGAATGTTTTGCTTATTTAAAACTTGTTACATTATATACACACGTTTCTAGTTATGTCAATATATTGCTTCATATTCAAATTACAATATATCATACATTGACATTGATTGATGTAAGGATTATAAAAATGATTGCTAGGAAATGCTAGAAATGATTCGTCTTGTTAGAAGTGCTCAATCGGATCTCTTCTTAATTTAAGAGATTGCTATAAAAAGTACACACGGTCATAGGAATGCCTTGATACTAAATTTGTCGTTGACAGATATAACAAATATATTGACATATTTGTCAACGACAAATTCAGTGTCAAGGCACATTTGAATTGGCTTATAAAATTCACACTCGTGTGTTAAGGCATTCCTGTGATCGTGTCTACAATGAGTAATGTATGAATACATAAGTGCAATTAATTTGAATTGAAGGATTTTAATTGAGGAACATTAGTTTTTTTACAATAACTTTTTTGCTAGAATATTTTTCACGAAATGTTTATGAGCATATTGTGGGTCACGAAAACATCTAGGTAATATATCATTTTTTCTTCTCTCCTGAATCTTCTTGACTCTTTCTTTCCGGGCTTATTAGATTTTTAAATAGCTTCACGATATAAGAATTTGTGTCGCAGGCCTTCGATTGTTTGCTTTTCGATTCAATGTCAGACTGCGTCGATGTCGCCTTGATTTCCATATTTTCTTCAGTTTTCCTTTCGTCGTTCAAATCCTATTTTTAAACACAATGTTCTTTTTGTGACCTTGTAATGTCACTCTAGGGTCTAGCAGACCCTAATCATACATTTAACTGTTATCACAGAGTGATAACAATCACTTAAGTATGTGCATAAAATATTGTAGTTTCAATAAAATTAAGTCACTATTCATAAGCGATAATTTTTATTCTGATAATGAATTTCACAAGTGAATTTTACAAGATAGTGAGTATCACAAGACCCCAGTATGCCGTTTAAACCAAATGTGAAGGTTTAACCCATGGCGGGGTTAAAAGATTAGATTGCAATAAATCTCTCGACACACATTTGATCATATGCATTTACCGATTTCTGTGTATTACAAGAAATATTTCTGCTAAATATTTTGTTCGGACAATATAAATATTGTTTTTCTTTTTTAATATACAGTTTCTAAAATAAAAAATATTTTAATGTATTTTTTATTGTTGTAATAAAAAATATCACATAAATATAGTATAAACATAATTATAACTTCTTATAACTTTAATATATACCATAAAGTTTAAAATATTTCGTAAAATATACATTTCATTTATCTTATTTTAATTAAAACGATAAATTAGTAATCCTGTTTTTCTTCACAGATACACCAATTGTCTGCATAACTACATTTTTTTAAAACGCAGTTACATTTTTTATGTAATTTACGTAAATGGATTTTTGTTATTCAGCATGCAAAATTATTACAGTAAAGATTTCAATAAGTAAATTTGTTTTTACGAAAAACTTCTTTTGTTTATTTTTTAGGTGACGCTAAAATTTTGCTTTTAAATTGTAGGAATTTTAAATTTTTTAATGAAATACGCAAATCGGTGAATATATATGCAAATCGTCCACAAATGACGTCAGACTTCATATCTGCGAAGTTTTGCCGATGATTTCAGTATCAGTATTTTAAGCATTCTCAGAGATCATCAATGAGAAGTTAAGTTAAGGAATTTAAGGGTTTTTTGTTCGTTTTGAAGAATTTGTTTTTTTACATATGTTGATTTTTATGTATTTATCGCTCGCTAAATAAAAGGACGGCTTACCTCAAGCTTCATTATTTCACTTTCGGGTTTATTCGCCACGGCAGGTTCGCTCATCATGTTTGTTAAAATACTTATCAGATTTTTAATTTAAAATCTTGCACTTTTAGAGGATAAGCTTACTGTTTAGTCAGCACTTCTTTTCAATTTGTGGTTTAATTTTTTCTTCAGTAGACTCTGAAAGACATGATTATGAATTTTTAATTAATAAACAGTTATTCGATATCCTTTTTTTCCCAAGTCTCCGTATTAAAGCTTAAAAACACAGATGTTATAAATTATAACTCGCCTTTGGGTTTTTCCGGTTCTTTTTGTGAGAGCATTAGAAAGGCCGACAATGTGTGTAGAGACATCATAATTAGCATACACCTATTATTGAAGCTGTCCCAATCTATTAGCGCCATTATAACGGTGAACAAATTTTTCGATCGCGATCGGCTTATTTGCCACGTGTAAACAATTTTGACCCGAGATTCATGGTAATCCGAGAAAGGCAAAACAGTTTTGCGGGAGACAATCTTGAACTTTCATACGAGTGACAAGAGAAATTAGAGATATCGACACTTTTAATGCGCAACTTAACTCTTTTAACTTTGCCGAAACATATTTTTGGACATACGTTGGATATTTTTGTTGGACAATAGGAGAATTTATCAGAAACGCAGTAGATTTGAAGTGTTAATACATATATATACATATATATGTATACAGGGTGTCCCATTTAACTCGAGACAACTAAATATTTCGAAAAATAAGCATTGTACGAAAAAATGTCCCAAATAAACTTTTAATATTATCAAAGGGGACATCTGTCTGTGTAAAAATTAACCCGCCCCCACCGCCCCTTGGGGGTGGGGCGGGTGGCAACTTTGAAATTTCAAATGGGAACCCCCATTTTTTATTGC